AGCCCTCTCTCTGCTGGTAGCTCTGATGCAGGATCTTGGCTGATCCAAAACCAGGCTTCTGGCTTAGGCTAGCCTAAGGTAAATATTGTCCTGTCAAATATCCGTTTCTGTGCCTGGGGTTTGCTGACGTCCTTTTTCTTAGCGTCACTTGGCTTCTGTTCTCACTGGCACTGGTTTTGCCCCCAAGGAAACAGTAGCCATCTCCTGGGTGAAGATCAGGGTTACTCTACTCGGCAGTGAACTGTTAGTTACAACATCAAGAAGTCATTTTGTATGGACACGATTTATTATCAGAGGTATATGTTGAGATAACAAGTATATGTAACGGACAGCTCTGAAATGTTACCTCGCTCCACACAGAGTCCACAGCTGTGGATTTAATAATCAAATACTAGGAAAATGCTTACATTCCCAAAAGGGGACAGAGGAGCGCTTCAGTGTGCAGAACATGGATGCTTGTCCTCAGCTGCTGTCCTGGGCCTGCTGGTCAGCATCCCTGGAGGTTCCAGGGAAACTGAAGCTCAGACCTACCAAGAGCTCCTCAAACCCCAGGTTCAGTAGCTCTCAGGGGTTTGTCTGCACTGTGACCTCTGAGAGGCTTTACCTTCTGTTTGACTGGAGACATTTGTTAAAGATGCCAAGTTTTTGGAGCTGGGGAGATAGCTCAGTGGTTAAGAGCACTGACTGCTCTTCCAGAGGACCTGAGTTTGATTCCCAGCACCCACGTGGTGGCTCACAACCATCTCTAGTTCAGCTCCAGGGACTCCAATACCCTCTCCGGCCTCCAAAGGCGACAACAGGCATGAAGTGGTGCACTGACATGTATGCAGACATGTATGTCTGGCTGGGCTGTGGCTCCATGTTCAAGGCTTACCTAGCATTTGAGAGGTCCTGGCTTCCATCTGTACTACCACAAGAAAGACAAAATAAAAGCAAAACAGAACTCCTTTACCTTTTTATTTAAAAATTTTTCTAAATTTAATTTTTATTTTATTCATGTGAATGTTTTCCCTGCATGTACACGTGTGCACCATGCGTGTGCCTGGTGCCCAGAGAAGCCAAGGCTGGAAGGTATTGGATCTGCTGGAACTGGAGTTATATACGGTTGTGAGGCACTGTATGGTTGCTGGGACCCAAACCCAGGACCTCTGCAAGAGCAGCCAGTGCTCTGCACCACCGAGCCATCTCTCCAGCCCCTCCTTAACCTTTTTGATACACAGAAAATCCAGCTGATGTATACACACACACACACACACACACACACACACACACACACACACACACACACACACGCTCATTACTACCCACAAGAAGAACACTAAGTTGCATGTGGGGTGCATGCCTGTGATCCCAGAATTTGGGAGATGGAGGCAGGTAGATTGGGAGTTTAAGGTCATCCTCAGCTGTATGATGCCCTGGCCAGCCTGGGGTGCATGAGACCCCAAGTCAACCAAAGCAAATAAGCAGGGTCACACTGAGCTCTGGTAAACGACTTGCTGTATGCTTTGTAGCAGGAACTTTTGTAAGCAGAGGAACCCTTCCGTTCCCAAAGGGACTGAGCTCGAGAAAGCAGGGATCCTCACACACACCAGGAGAGCCCAAGGTCTCTTAAAGAGAGAAGACACTTGCCAAATCTCTGTACGTTAAACGGAGCCTGAGATTTAGGGACCAGCAGAAAGAGATGTTTGTAAGTCGTAAGGAGACAGTTCTGAGAGCAAAGATTGTCTTCAGAGAGACTTTCTCAACCAAGAAAGTCTTGCAAGATCAGTGAACTGTGGAGGAGGAAGCAAGGAGGAGAGAAGTGTGTGTGGTATCCAGCCTCTCTATCATCCCATGTCAGGGTGAGGTCATTTTCCAGGAAAAAGGAAGCAGGCTAATGCCCCTAATTTAACAAGCTCATCAGAAATGGGATGGAGGTAGAGAGGACTGCCCACCCTCGGAGACCAGCCAGACTAGCCTCAGACCCCAGTGCCCTCCTTTCTTTGGAGTAAGAACCCAGAAGGCAACTGTCTTTGTAGGAGATATAAACTGAATTCCCATTTCAACTGAGAGGCTGTCCAAGGAAGTCATATGCAGCCCTGTGTACTCTGCTGGGATGCTGGTACTCATTCTGTCAACAGGGTACATGCTTCTGTAGTGTTCCCTGCACTGCAGAACATACCTGGCCCATTTACTGCATCATGAGTGACTTTCCTGGGCTTGCTCAGTACTCTGATGTCTCTGATGGTCTACTTTTTCCTTTGACAGTTGGCATCTTCTGATTTGTGACATAACTTCTAGAATCCAAACAGTGTTCTCAGTACCTTGCTGGCAATTCAAAGACCCGGGTACCATGGTTTTGAGAATTTGGAGGGCTATGGAGATAGCTCAGTTGGTAAAGTGTTAGCTTCGCAAGCATGGGGAGCTGAGTTTGGATTCCAGGTACCCACATAAAAAGCCAGGCATGGTGAGGTGTGTCTGTAAGCTCAATGCTGGGGATGTGAAGTCAGGAGGATCCCTGAGGCTTGCTGGCCAGAAAGCTCAGCTGAGTCATTGAGCTAGTGAGAGGCCCTGTCTCAACACAATATCGTGGAGAGTGATTGAGAAAGATACTGGAATTTGACCTCTGATTTCCACATGCCTGTGCATACCTGTGCACCTCCATGAAAATGTACATGTATAAACATGAATACACAAACATACACATTACAGACAGGATAGAACTTTTTGGCTGCGAGAGTGTGAGATGGTCCCTTGCCCCATAAACACTATTCTGTTTCAGATACTCCTTTCAATTGCACATGGATTTCAAAGCCAGTTTCAGAAACACATTGCCTTCAGGGATGGGTTTCACGGGTGCTTTGTGGGGATGCTGCCGCCTTCTGGTTCCCACATGAGGACTGTCATAGATGTTGTGAGAGTTGCCAGATAGGCCACAGCCCCCAGGGCATCAGGAACAAAGTACTGTGGGAGGGGCCTGAGATGGTTAGGAGCTAGCATTTACATTGGCCCCCAGTTTTTTAGAACACACCTGTGGCTGTTTCAGGAGAACAACCGTAGCAACGTGTGGGGTTGAACAGTATGGCATTGAGCAGGTCAGCAAGGCTAAGTGGATTTTTGTAGCTGCAAAGTTCTAGTATGTGAAGTGGTAACTTCAAAGGTGGGGCAGTCAGAGGGGCAAACGCTAACAGGAAGGTGGCTGAGAATGGAGATTTTGGTTTCAGTGAGAGTAAAGGCTTGGGACTAGGTGGTGGGGACTACATACTGATGGGTGTGCACCACTGTGGCTGCCATTAATATCACTGAAGTGCACACTTAACAGAAAGCTTTAACCACATGAAGAATCTTAAGTCACACATTTTGTCATAACACGAGAAAAACAGTTTTTAAAAACTATGAAAAGATACAAGCTTATAGTTTGAATCTAGTTTGTCACCGCTGAAAGACACATTGAGATTTAATTGGCCTTATAAGTATTAAGAGGTGATGAGGCCTCTGTGTGCACATTGAGACCCATTCACCTGTGTCATTAATGAATTAGTGGGTAGTGGGTGGGGTTACCTCAGGGTAGATCTGCTACCACAGGCACAGCCCCCATGGCTGGGGCGTTCCCTGCTTCTTGCCTAGATGCTCTGCCAGCCCCTGGATTCTGCCAGCAGGAAGACTGTCATCAGATTAGTGTCTCAGCCTTGGCCCAGACTCCTGAACCAAAATAAACCCGCTTCTGGACAACTTTCACCGTTTGTGGTATTGTGTTGTTAATGATGGGAAATGTATTAGGAAATAGCTCAAAAGCCGATTGGAAAATAAACAGCTAAAGGTTAGATGCAATATGATCCTAAAGATCCACCCCAGAAAAGCAGGAAGGAAGAAAGAAGGGGAGCGATGACTGCCCGCTGCTGAGTTGTTGTTAGCTCCAGCCAGTGGGGTGGCTGGGCCTCCCAGGAGAAGGGGATAAAGGTGCAGGAGTCAATGGTGTTCAGGTCACAGGAGACACCTTGCGTTGATTTAGTTGTGTGCATATGGTGCTGGGGGTCAAACCAGAGCCTCGAGCATACTTTCTAGGCTCTCTAGCACTGGGCTGTCTCCCCAACATGAAGAGACCCAACATATAAGGGGAAGCCAGGAAGGAGGAGACCTGAAGGCTGGGCAGCTGCTATTAATACAAGTGGCTTGTGGAGGTCACGGGGTGGGGACAGGGAGTGGGGGTGGGGAGGGGGCGGGGTGGGGGCATTTCATAGCAATGAAAGTCCACTTATCAGAGAGATAGCATACTGTGCAGGGAGGGACCTTGCAAAGAGCTTAGATATTGAGAGACAAAGTTTACATGCACAGGTGGACACGTCCCCAAGTATAACACTACTCAGATTTTCACTCCAGGACTGTGCAAGTGTGGAAACCCAGGCTCACTTACTACCAACTACAGGCACTCTGTGTTGACTTGCCCAGAGATCAGGAGAAAAGCCCTTTCCCTTGCTGGCCACAGCTGTCCTAACCACAGTGTCAGTGTGGTGGGCGTGGCAGGGAGGAGCCTGGTCTGTGAATCATGCTGTGGACTCAACAGGACCACTCACCTGTGACCTGAAAAAGCCATCAACTTGTTGAACTCTAGTTTCTGTAGACATCAGGAGGCAGTTACAAAACACACGTGAAAGGTACCTATCTGCTGGTGTTTAAGAGTGTCTCTAACTTAGAGCCAGATCCTCCTCTTACTCTTTGGTTTTAGAAAATTTAAAGATTTTTACATAAGCTCCTGAAAAAAAAAGATAAATTATTGTTGAATATGATATTGAAGAACTGCCATCCAACCAAAATAAACAAGAGTATATGGAAAAAAGGTAAGGGAGGAGGCTATATTTGTGTGTGGACGTGTTTATATGTTTATGTGGGTATGTACATGCCGATGCGTGTGTGTGTGTGTGTGTGTGTGTGTGTGTGTGTGTGTGTGTGTGTATGTGCATGTGTATGGAGGCCAGAGCAGTTTTTTCCTTTATCATTAATCACCTTGTTTTCTGAGACAGGGCCTCTTGCTGATCCCAGAACTTGCCTGTTTAGCTAAGCAGGCTGACTGATGAACTTCAGGGATCAGCCTCTTTCGCCTCCCAGGACTGAGATTATAGAGGTAGGGTTGCATCTGGTTTTGGACGTGGGTGGTGAGGAATCCAAACTCAGGCCCTCACCTGTACAGTAGGCACTTCAAGTGAGCCATCTCCCTGGCCCTTTGCAAGCACCTTTAGACTTCTGAGTTTTGAGTAGGAAACACCCCATCCTTGGCTTTGTGTTGAGCATCTGTAGTAGCTTGATTCCCTTTGATCCTCCTCTCCTCCACCCTTTCCTTCGTTGTCTCCTCAAAGTTGGACCCGTATGCACCAGACACAGGTCCAGAAAATGCCAGCTCCCATATCATGGCATGGGACACCCTGCCTAGTGCTTCAGTGTTTTGCTTGGTTCCCAGGAAATGGCTGGCCTCTATCCCCAGGGGTCCCAGGGCTCAGTTAGGTAGCCTGGGAAGCCAGTCCATAGGAATTCCTGGAGCATACTGTGTGTCTCTCTCACACAGCCTTGCCTCTGCTAGCCCCGGAGAAAGGGAAGCTGGCAGGCTAGCACAGGGCAATAGGAACACTGACGTACCTAAACAGAGGCCCTATGGGGAAGCTGCTTTGTGCCGTGCCTGCAGGTTTTGTCCTCCCTGTCCTGATTTGGTGATTCAAGGCCACTGTGTCAGGGGCATTTGTTTGATTGAGTTATTGATTTGTTCTTCAGTGTCCCTTCTGAAATGGGAACGGGACGTGGCTGCCACCATTGTCCTTTGGTATGGTCCTGGAGCATAGCACCAGGGCATAGGTAGATGAAGCTTTAGCTTTGTGTCAAAGATCCTGTGGGCTGACCTAGCTGACAACTAGGATGTCGTAGTAGAGAGATGTTATGTTGCAAGCCAAAATGGCCCTGGGTGGTTTCAGGCCCTCCATGTGCTTTCAGCCTCATTGTATGGCCCAACAGCCTTGTAAACATCTAGGAAAACATACTGCTGAGCTGAGCAGACCTCTGGGCTCCACAAGCCCTAAAGCTAAGAATGTTGATCTGTGGCCCGAGACAAGTCTTCATATGGTGTGGTCCAGAGAACCAGAAAAGGTAGAGAAGCCCGTGAGCAAGAGAACACTGAAACCTAGGGCAGGCTTTTCCATCTCTGCTGTTGTGTGCACCCTCTTGGCTTCTTCTGCCCCACATCATTGTCAATGCATTGGTTTACTGTTTTCTCTTGTTCTGTGACTAGAAAGGTTTGCGTCTCTTCCTTCATGATGGGACTTGCCACTCAGGGTAACCTGAACCCCTGTTCCCTGGGCCATGGCCACTCTGACTTCACTCACAAACAACTATTTTCTTTAAGGCAGAATCATTAAAAAAAAAGTTATTTACTTATTTAATGTGTGTTCTGTCTAGTTTTTTGTCAACTTGATGGAATCTAGAATCATTTGAGAGGAGGGAACCTCAATTGAGAAAATGCATCTATACGATCAGCCTGTGAGCAAGCCTCTAGGGTGTTTTCTTAATTAGTGATTGATGGGGAAGTGCCCAGTTCACTGTGGGTGGTGGCATCCCTGGGCTAGAGGCCCTGGGCACTTTAAGAAAGCAGGCTGAGCAAGCCATTGGGAGCAAGCCAGTAAGCAGCTCCCCTCCATGGCCTCAGCATTAGCTCCTGCCATTCCTGCTTTGAGTTCCTGCTCTGACTTCCCTGGATGATGGACTACAAACTGTAAGCTGAAATAAACCCTTTCCTTCCCAACTTGCTTTTGGTCATGGTGTTTAATCACAGCAATGGAATCCTAACTAAGACAATGTGTGTGTATGGGTATGCTGGAGTGTACATACATACATACATGTGTGTGCAGTGCCCATGGAGGCAAAAGACGATGTTGGCTTTTCTGGAATTAGAGTTCCAGATAGTTATGAGCCATATAATGTGGGTGCTGGGTTATCAGGGAGTAGTCATCCTTTGTCCAAAGGGGAACCCAAGACACAGGAAGTCAGCATGTGGAGAGTCTGCAGGGACCTTAGAGTCTCCTGGAAGAGCATCCTGTGCTCTTAGCCACCGAGCCACCTTTCCAGCACGTTGAGCCATTATTTTCCATGTCAGTGCAGACATCTACTTTCTCCTCTTCGATTTCTCTTTCAAGACAAGGTACCAAATCTGCAAGGGGAACCCCTGTGAATTGGTGCTGCACCCTTGTTCCTTCAGGCAGCCACCCTGCAGGTACTGGGTACTGGGTACTGGGTAGCCAGCTCCCTGGGCTACCCACAACAAGGCTTTAAAAAGACCCTCCTCATCAAAGATACAGGCACCTGGCTGATTTCTTCTGTCTTTTCTTGTGCAAACATGCACACAATTTTAATAAAAATATCCACCTGAAAATGTACTTTACATCGCTCTCTAGCCTCATCTCCTCCCTGGGCTTTCCTTTAGACACTAACAAACCGATTGGAGAAAGGGTTAAACATCCTACTACTGTTGGCCCAGTGAATTAGGAAATTGGGAAAGCCGTGAGTTTTGGGGCTCAGGCATCACATACCGTGTGTGTATGGAATATGATCAAGCAATAAATCAGCAGGTTTGGGCTTCTCCTTCAAGCTGATTGCATTAGTGCTGAGTCACTTTTCCAGCCAGGAGTGAGCACAGGCCTGAGCCTGAGGACCTCTTGTGAAGGAATCTTAGCAGAGAACACTTAAATATCCCAGATTACATGTTATGAGAGACAAAAGTGCAGCTTGCCTTGCACTTCATGTGTATAAACATGGGGTCATGAATGCCACAGTACATGTGGAGGGCAGAGGACAGTCCTGCGTGTTGCTTCCCATCTTTTCGTCTTTGAAACAGGGTCTCATTGTTTTAACGCTGTGCATGTCAGGCTAGCTGGCCTGTAAGTTTCTGGGATTCTCTTGTCTCTACCTCCCATCTCCCTGTAAGACCACTGATATTATAGCTGACTACACTGTAAATCCAGTTTTTACATTGGATCTGAGGATTCTCAGGCCCTCACACTTGCACTCAGATATTTTCCCAGCTCTGTGTCCATTCATTTAAAGTTATATTTCTAGAAATGAGGCTCCAGGGAGTTGTGTTGTTGTTGAAGGCTGATCTCACCTGACCGACCATCCTCTGCAAAGCAATAGCGGCTCCTCCGGTGACTCCCGCTTCTTTCCCCCCATGCCTGTGGTCTTCCTCCAGCTTCCCTCCACTGCCTCCCTCTCTTCCTCTGGCTCACGAGTGTTTACAGCCTAGTATGCCCCCCACCCCACCGGGCTAAATCCTTTGAAAGCAGACATGGTTACTCTCCATTGCCAATTTGACTCAGTTTGCTATCACCTAGGAGATGCACCTCTGAGTGTACCTGTGAGGCTGTTGCTAGGGAGGTGTAGCTGAAGAGGGAAGACTCACCCTGAATGTGAGTCACTCCATCCCAGGCTGGAGTCCCAGACAGAATAAAAAGGGGGAAAGGAGAGAGGACCTGAGCACCAGCACTCATACCTGCTTCCTGGTGCACCGTTCTTTCCTCAGCATGGCGGGCCACATTTCTCTGAACTCCAAGCCAATGCAAACCCTTCCTCCCATAAGCTGCTTTTTGTCAAGCATCTGGGAACAATTATAAGGAAAGCAGCCAATACAGCAAGGGTCGTGTCCAGGATCATCTTTGGGGTCCCCAGGATAGTAGGTGTAAAGGAGCACTCTGACTTTGTCAGGGAAGCTCGGAGTGGCATGACTCCCAGTCGTGGCTAGGTGGGACCAACTGGACCATCAGAACAGGGTCAGTGCCCTTCCTGGGCTTTCACCACAGACCTTCAGGCCCAGGTCCACTGGCGGGTGATGCCTTTGTTGACTCCTTGCCATCAGCCTTCTTGTCAGAGACATCTCTGATTTGGGGTGGTGCCTGGTAGGCAGGGATAGTACGTGTGCTCTGGGGTGACATTGATGGCAGTGCCTGGCAGGGTTACATCACAGGGGCTAATGACCTTTCAGTGACGCTAATGCTCTTCTTAACCTCAATTGAAAAAAAAAGAATCATCAATTTGTTTCTGACCCCTTTGATTGTTGCAGGATATGTTTGTACAGAACCAGTTTCTCTGGTCTGGGAGTCTGCTAAACTTGACCTTTTCTGTTTGGGAGGGGAACAAAACGGTTTTCTCAAGGTCTCTGGCACATCTTTTCTTTTCCATCTACAATCAATATGAGGCACTCCTCAGGACTGAATATATTAATTTGTTTTAAGAACTAGTCAGCCAGGGCCAGGCCTATCATTCATGTTGGAGGCAAACCTCAGCTATGTAACCCAGTTTGAGACCAACCTGAGCTACGTGAGATCCTGTCTCAAAAAACATACAATGAAAAGGAAAAATAACCAAGGATTCAGATGTTTTAAACAAACCTATCCATGTATTAGTTTTTTGTATGTGTGTATGCCTGCATGAGTTCATATGCACCACATATGTGCAAGGAGTCCATGGAGACCAGAAGAGGGTGTCAGATCCCCTGGAACTGGAATTACAGGCAGGTATAAGCCCCTTGGTGTGGGCACTGGGCACCAAGCACCAGTGTGCTGTGTGAGAGCAGCAAGTGCTCTTAGCTGCTGAGCCGTCTCTCCAGCCCATCGATTTGTGAGGTTTTTGTTTTAAACAGAGCCTTACTATGTAACCCTGGCTGGCCTGGAACCTACCACCACGCTGAGCGTGAAATCACAGAGATCCTCCTGCCTCTGTCTACCGAAAAATGAGATTAAGAGTGTGTGCCACCACATCTCGCTGGCATTTAGAGTTTATGAAATAAATCGAGGAAGCCTCTTTTTCCAATGTATCACTGCCTGGGTGCCTGCTAGTCAAATGATCCAGTGCCCTCATGTTTCCAGCCCCCCTTCTCACTCAGTTTCTTAAGTTGCCAAAGGGAGTACCTGTAACGAATACAGAACTGGATCCTTCCTTCAGTCAAGGTTCTTTCTGTCCCCAGCTCCTCTGCTCGTTTCCAGGAAGCCAGGCCTATCAGAGAGAGGCCCTTTACCCCACCCGGTCATTCCAGGTCCTCTCAATACCTGTGTCCATTCCTCTCTCAGTCCCTGAGTTTAGAGAGTAAGACATCCCTGCAGAAAGACTTCTGGGGCACAGAGGGAATTACATTGTAACAACAACAATAATGAAAAGCTGAGGGGTGTGAACAAGATGGAGTGGCCTCTGTCTCCCCTGTGAGGATGGAGACCACTTTCTACCCTCACTCGGTTATGTTCAGCACCTAGGCCTCAGCCTCACCGTGCCAGAAGGTACCTGAGCTCAGATCTGAGTGACCAGGAGGCCCATAGGAGGACCTCCCTCCCACACCACTCCTGCGGAAGGGCCTCCCTTCCTGCACGGGCTCCTTGGGAAAGGGTTGCCCTGTCCAGAGGCCCAGCCCAGGAGCCCCAGCTTCAGTTTCTCGAGTCCAACCGAGGTCAGGAGGTTTTAAGTGAAAATGACCAGAAAACTGTAATTTAAGGTTTTAGTTCATGCGTGGTGAGATAAAAATCTCTGTCCTGTCCAGGATCTGAATCATCCTTTGTCCAACACGGCCAGGCTGCCAAACCCCCCATTCCTGTCTGTCACAGGTCAACTGTTGCACTTCCAGTGTTGGCTCTTACGTCATGTAAAGACAGCCTGCGAGGGAAAGCTGGCCACTAGAGATGCCAAAGAGAAAATGAGAAGCTGGAAAGAGCTTCCTCCGGGAGAAAAGGTGGAGCCCCTGACCTGCTAAGGAGCCTACGCCCAGACTCCACTCTGTAAGGCCACAACTCAAACTGAGGGGCTTGTACTCCAGCGCTTGGGAGGGCGGATGGCACTGACGACTGGGAATCTTTTGTAAGGAAGAGTGGTCACTTCTCTTGTTAGTTTACTCAGTCACTTTGGGTTTGATTGATTTGGAGGACTTGCTGAAGATGGACTTGGGCTGTGTCCTTCTTGGTCACTCCCTGTCATTTATTGCCTTCAGACTCAAGCATATTGCTTGTCAAGTGACCTGGACTTCAGATGCTGGCTGGTGGCCCTTGCCCTACCTCTGCTCTTGTGTTTTGGAAATAGTGCCTGTTTTCTGGTACTGGCTTCTTTTTATTTCTGAGTGTGTGTGTATGTGTGTATGGAGGACCAAGGACAATGTCTGATGCACTTCCTCCATAATTCTTGAAATATCAGATGCCTTTCTATCTTTTTTTTTTTTTTAAGACAGAGTCTCTCCCTGGCCTTTATTTTTTATTTATTATTAGTGTATTTGTATCTGTGAATGTGTGTGTGTGTGTGTGTGTGTGTGTAATGTGTGGCTTGGTGTGTGAGTGCCTGTCACAGAGTGGCAGAGGAAAATTTCGGGGGTTTGTTTATCTCTTTTTCCATTATGGGTTCTGGAGAGCAAACTCAGGGTGCCCTAGGTCTCTTTCTTCCCTCTGGGTTTGGTTTTGTCTAGGAATGGTTGACTAGTCACAGGGCCATGTGATACCATCCCCATTTCTTGAGCTCTAGTGCAGTAAGCAAGCCACAAGAAGCCAGTTGGGTGACAGACACCTGATTCCCCAGAGAACAGTGTCTTGCGCCAAGCGAAGATCCCGTGAGGAAGGAAATAGGCATGAAGGGGCTGTGATGCCCCTCACCTGGAAGTCCTCAAGACTAGAAGTGATCAGCTACATTTAATATGAAGGAGTCTGTCTAAGATGCCTCCTCTCACTAAAAGTAGGGGGAGTGGAAGACAAGGCCAGCCATGGACAGAGGGCACTGGGGCTATGCTGCCCACTCACTCTCCATCCAACACCTACAGACGAGGTAAACCTACCCAGAAAGATCATGGCATGTGGAGATGTTTCTGTCTTCTATTTCCTTGATTTCAGGGAAAGAGGTAACCTGGCATAAAGGCTAGCATAGTGATTAGCTTGAAATCATTCTAGCTGGTGACCTGTCAACCATTGGTTACCAACGGGGACCACCCACTGAGAGACCTAAGAATCCACACAGCCCTTCATCCTACAGTAGGAGGTGACAAGCAGCCCATGTTTTTATTTTTGTTTGGGGTTTCCTTTTTGAGATGGGGGAGGGGGGGGAAGTCTCGCTATGTGCCCTGGGCTGTCCTGTTCTGGAATCATTATGTGACCCAGGGTGACCTCAAACTCCAGATTGATCACCCCACTGCAGACTCTAAACTACTGGGATTCCAGGTGTGTTCTACTGCTCCTGGCTCGTGTCATTCATGATTTCAGATATAATGATATGTGCACTGATAGTCTCATGTCAACGGGAACATTTTGATACTAATACGTGGCTGTTGGTTGTCAGTGCCAGAGACAGCTCAGCTGATGGTAAAGGGCCCTTCTCCTTACAGAAGGAGGCAGTGTGGGCTGGAGACCAGAGTCACAGGCTACCCAGGCAGAGAGAATTGAGTGGGGGTCCTTCAGAGTAGCCCATGGGCCTGGAAAAGGACCAGGGGCTGTCCCCAGATCTGCCACATCATATCACACCACACAACACAGGCTTAGCTGCATAATCACTCACCAACCACACCCCAAATGTCTTCTGTATAAGGCCATCAGCACCTTTCTACCAGGAAAAGCTGGGTCCCGGGACTGTGTCCATCCCTTCCTGCTAAGGACTGGACTCCAGCTTGGTTTTCTTGACATTGTGACCAGCCTGAGACCCAATGCCCCCCAGGTAGCACAGGTCCTCTTGTAGTTTCTGTTCTCTGTTGTAAGGAACATGAAGTTCCCATAAGTACCAACAGAGCACTGGTGACCGGGAAGGGCCTGAACTTCCATGGAGCCCAAGGTGTTACTGTGACCTAGTTTCCAGGCCCACAAAGGCCTATGCTTCTTTTAAAATAATGTTTAAAAAAAACAACAACCATGAAGCTGGTAAGTACGCTTTAAATGTTTAATAAGGTAGCCTTTAAGTTTGAAGTGGTTTTAAAGACAAATGAAGAGAATTCCAAATTTTTGAAAAAGGCAAGCTGCCGTGGGTATGGATTTTGTATATTTTTAATTTAAAAAATGGAGGATATTAAACATAAACAGTAATTTAAAATAAATGAAAATGAAGCATAATAAAAACATTTCTCAATTACATGTATCAAACACAGGCAAATTTTAAGGGAAGAAGCAAGCAAACAAACAAACAAACAAACAAAAAACCCAAAAATGATAATTATTTTAGAACAGACTAACTACTTAGACAAAAAATAAAAAAGACTTTACAAACCATTCAAGGGGTTGGAGACATGCTAGTCAGCAAGGTGCCTTCTCAACAAGCATGAGGATCTGAGTTCAGGTCTTCCTTATCCACATAAGCTGGACAGTTGTGAGTACCTGGAACTCCAGTGCTGGGAAGGCAGAGACAAAGATCCCTGGAGCTGGCTGTGAGGCCAGCCAGTCGGGGAGCTTTGGGTTCAGTGAGAGACCCTGTCGTCAAAGGTAAAGAGAGCAATGGCGGAAGACACACAGTGTCAACCTCTGCTCTGTGTACACACATGCACTTGTACACACACACATACACTACACATAAAAATGTGAAAAGATCATGATGAATTGAGTGTGAGGGGCTTATTCCTATTATCCCAGTCCTTATGAGACAGAAGCAGGAGGATCAAAAGTTCAAGGGATTCCTTAACAACGTAGTGAGTTTGAGACCAGCCTGGACTATAAGAGACCCTATTTCAATAGCAAAACAGTAACAAAATCATAATCAACTAGGTGCAGTGAAACATGCCCATAATCCCAGCACTTGGGAGAGTCAGACAAGAGGATTGCCGAGTTCAAGATCAGTAAGGGCTCCGGGGTGAGACTCTGTTTCAAACAAACAAAAAAACTGAGATCATCACTGCTTATGTGACTGTTTACACAAGCTGTGCTTGGCTGGTGACTCATATGCTAACCCTCCGCCTCTATCAGCCAGTGATTTGCAATTTGTGGAGGCCCCAGTTTGGGGAAGCCCAGGCTGTCTGGGTGGACGTGATTATAAACAGGAATAGGCCAAGGCCCCTCTGATGCCAGAAGGGACAGTTGCTCATTCTAGTCCCAGCTCTGGAGCCTGGAGAAATAAGGACCCAGGAAATACTCCCAGATGTCACAATCAAGCTTCCCTTAGGCTGGACCACAGGCAAAGATGATGGTACTTGTGACTTGGGCTGTGGTGGAGAGGACACAGATATCAAGGGTTTTTCTCTGTAGATGTGCCCTTGGGGATTTAGGATGGAGTAGGGAGTGGACAGGACTCAGCTGACCCTCATGCAGAGCAGGGTGGGGCATGTTGTTGAGGGTGAATGAAGCTAAGCTCCAGTGGCTGTTCAAGCTATGTGCTAGTATTCCGAGGATAGGATAGGTCATGTCCTATACAGAGTTGTCTCAGCTCCATTGTGGCTCTACTGGCTGGAGGGAGAGAGCAGACTGGGCCCTAACTATATGGGAGGCCCAACCCCATCCTATGAGCCAGGGAAGGGTCTCAGTGGACTGCGTGGGGTTTCACTCTGTGCATAGACCTTCCTGTTGCTGCCGGTCATATCGTCAGTGTCCAGCAAACTCCTGGGCCAAGATGTGGCTGCCAGCCTCCTGTAGGAGGACCCAGGGCTCAGAACTTGCCACAAGCTCTCTCAGGGCCACAGCTGGCTACGTATTCCTAAACACAAAGGATCAAGCAGACTGGATGGTTGAGGGGATGCTAGGGTCCTGGAGATGGGCAGGGACATGTGGCGTTATGTGATTTTATTTACCCAAATGTATGGGTGGCACTTCCTTTAGAACAGAGATGGTTCCCTGGGCCCTAAGCATGTTTGTGAGAGACTCCATAAGGAGTGGTGAGCCTGCTTCTTAACCTAGAGATGAGAGCTCTGCCCAGCCAACTCAAACCAAGTCAAGGGTGCCAGAGGAGGTTGTAGGGCACATTGCCTTGGCCTGGTCCCTAATGGCCATACTTTAGAAATATCAGTGGTATGAGGACAGAAGCCACTGTGTCATGGAGAAAGGCAATGCAGTTCTTTTTTTTTTTTTTTTTTTTTTGAGACAGGGTTTCTCTGTGTAGTTTTGGTACTTGTCCTGGCTCTCGCTCTGTAGACCAGGCTGGCCTTGAACTCACAGAGATCCGCCTAGCTCTGCCCCTGAGTGCTGGGATTAAAGACATGTGCCACCGCTGCCCGTCTGGCAATGCAGTTCTTATTTATGAGAGCTAGGTCCATGTATATCCCCTTGCAAAACCTATTGGCAGCCCCATGACTCCTCGAACAGCAGGGGGATGTCTAATCCTTGTGTCCTCCTTTGTCCCCAGTGCAGAGTTGGTGGTGATGTGAGCAAAGGAAACATCCAAAGGTGATTTGAGCAACTGGACACTGGGATATGTTCCTTATAGGAACCCAGGAGACCTGTCGGGTACTAGATACTAACTATGTTTATGTACACACACATAAAGAATGGTTAAAGGAAAATATGTGTGAGTTTGGGCTGTAGTTATTGGACGTGAATGAAAACCATACACCCCAGCCAAGTGTACCTATAATCCCGTCATTCTGAAGGTAAAAGCAGGAGGATCAGGAGTTCAAAGCCAGCTTCAGCTATATAATGAGTTAAAGGTCAGCCTAGGCTATATGAAACTCTACCTCAAAAAACTAAAATACAGTCCAAAACAACACTTATAAAAATAGCTATATGTAAAGTCATAGTTCAATTCCTCACAATGCTATGGCATTAGTTTATAATCAGAAAATATGAATCTGATGTAAACTGAAGTTGAAATGGTTACATTAGTGAGATGGACATTTTCC